ATATCAAGTTCTATATTATCAAATAAATAAAATTATAAACAAAATAAATTTGTATTTATATGTCTAAAATTAGTTTATTGTCATTCAATATTTCAAACCAGCCTTTATTTATTTTTCATAACAATCCTTGTATAATATTCTAATCAATGTTAATGAAACAAAAGCTCCAACAAAAGGTAAACCAGCATAAATCCATAAATTCCAAAATCTAGCCCAATGACCATCTTTACAACATTCAAAAAATACTAATCTTATTACTTAATCATTATAATTTACCCCATAGCAATAGCTGGATTCAGACTGCTCTTAGCTACATAACTTAGAGTTCTACCAACTCCATATAATCCACTAATTATAATACTATGTTCTAATCTATCACTTGTAAAATCCATTAAATCATCATATTAAAAAAGAAAACCAGCAGTAAGAATAAGTGTACCTAAGATTTCTCCAATAATAACTGCAAAATATTCTTCAAATGTAGTTTAAGACAAATATGGAACTTCATTGACACTATTAAATAATCTATAAATATTTTACTAATTCTTAAAGCATAAGAAACCAAGCAAACTAGCCAAAAATGCTCCTCCAAATTAACTAGCAATAGCAACAGATACCCAAAAACCTTTATCATTACCAGATAAAACTGTAGTAATAGCAGGATTAAATGAACATTTCTGATTTTGAGCAACCAATATCAACATACCATAAGCACAACTGAAAACAAAGAGATTATTACTTAAATTATTTTAATTATTTTACTTGCTAGCATATATTGAAAATGTTAACATGAATGTACCTAAGAATTCAAACCAGAAAATATAGACAGCTTCTTTTTTCATTTGTCCTACCTTTGTTTAAGGCATTCCATCTACTTCCCATTTAATTGGTTTGTTTTATTATTTAATTTCTTAATTTACTAAATCACTATAGTTTTGTTATTATTCTTCCATTAATCAATAATTATTTTAATAAGAAGAATTCTATATAAAACTTAAAAATTCTCTTAATATGATTAAGGAGAATGTTGAATATAATTCAAAAATATATTAGAATTGAAGAATTTGTAATTGATTTAGTTGAATTATAGATTATAATGATAATATAAATTAATATAAGATTTTATTGATGGATCAAATAAGTAATAAGGAACTTTTGAAAAAGATCAATATACAATTAAAATCAGCAGTTACAGTTTATGCAAAAATTCAAATAGTAAATTATTTACTCAATTCAACTTCTGAGTTTATAGACATGTAAAAAAGGAGGCTAATTTTAGGTTTGGATAGACAAGTTCAATGAAGATGATTACTTAATATTTGAAAGAAGCTTTGAAATGTATTTAAGCTAATGAAGAACTTGTTGATAAAATATTTATGTTGTTGTTGAAAATGAATTTAAATGATGAAATGCTTAAGGAATCTGATATGGGATATTTATTAATCAAAATAAAAGATAAAAAACTATTAGATGATTAAAGAGTAAGTATAAATGATTAAATACTATAAAAATGGTTGAAAATTAAGACAAGATATAGAAATACTCTTGAAGAGTTAAAAAAAAACAGTAATTAAAAGGATAAATATGAGGAACGCAAAAAAAAAGTGAAAAGAAATTAATCATCAAGTTCAAATGAATCATAAAACAAAAAGAAAAAAAATAAAAAGAAAAATGTTCGGTATATTTTAAGTATTGAAATTATTAGTTTTGCAAGAGATGACATTCTAATGAATTATAAATATTTTAAAAGAGATGATGAACCTAATCTAAGAGGAATGACTATAGAGGAAGTAATTGCTTTCCAAAAATAATATGCAGGTGAATTAAGAAGATTATATTAAATTAATGGTTATGATATAAAACATAGAGAATCTATGATGGAAGGATAAGAACATAAATTATAATTAGATAATATCTAATAAATGATTGAATAAATTCCATTTATTAAACCTTTGAGTAAGTTATTAAAATTATTAGAATTATGCTCAACCTTCTTTTCATCTTTTGATACCAATTTTTAAGAAACTCAGAAATAATAAATAAGAACTGAATCCAAAATGTCAGCATTCTATACCAGAGATGTAAATATTTCTATAAATTTTAATCTCTAGTAGATTCCTGATCAACCAGGGTATAATGAAATATCTAATACTTAAATTGGAATATAACCAAAAATTATATATCTTGATCCTCCAAAGAAAGAAGATCTTATGTTTATGGTTCAAATCATATGCAATAGAGGATTCTCAGAATTAGAAGAAAAACATAAGAATGCAAATAAAAAATAAGTAAAAGGCATTTTGAAAAAACCAAAAGAGGAACAATCCAATTAAAAAGATGTCATTTTGAATCAAGCAAAGCAAGATCTCTAACCCAAAATGCAGCAATTGGTACAAATGGTTGAGTAGAAATAAAACCATAGCCAAGAAAGTATTCGTAAGAATATTAATTTATTTAAGTCACTTTATTACATGATATTATATAAAAATTAAAGGAAATTGGTGAGGAATAATATATAAAAAATTTTAAATCATTCCTTGAAACTAAGTTGAATGACAAACAATCAATTATAACTGAATAAGAACGCATTAAATCTCAATAAGAATAATAGAGAATTCGAATTGAATAATTATAAAGCATTAATCCAGTTCAGGCTCAAAGATTAAGAGCATACAAAACCAAAAATTGTCACAATTTTCATTCCTCTATAGGATGTACAAGAGGAGATAATTGCAATTTCATCCATGACTCTCGCTACCCTGGAAGACCTGCTCCAATTCTTCAATATCCTAATTTCCTAAACAAAACCCTCTATCCTTAACCTAATATGTAATTAATTATTCCTCCTCTGCTCCAATAGCTAAATCCTGCCTTTCTGTTAGGAAGGTTAAAAAAGTACGATAGTTTATGAGTTGATATTTATTAAAATACATTTAATATGCTAATTTAAACTTGAATCAACACCCTATACAACAAAACAATTTAATGCATTCTGACAATTAAATTTAATGTCTGGAGAACTATTAGATTCTCTAATCATTTATACTTTATCAAATTTAAAAACTGACAATAACAGTATCAATTTAGATTTATATTCACATAAAAACTTAATTCATGATCTGAAACCTTGTTTCCTTGCAAACGAACCAATTACAGCAAATCCAACTAAAGCAATTATCCCAAATATGACCACATTTGAAAGGAAATCTAGAATCATTATCAAAAATTTAATTATTTAATAACAAATGTCACATTATAAATTATTTTATTGTTAATAAACAATTAAATGTTAATGTTAAATACTTAAATTAATTAATTATTCCTTTAATATATTTATAAGATAATTGCAATTATTTGAATTAAAAAATACTTTAAGGAAATTGAAAAATTAGTTAAAAATATATCAGAGATGAATACTTTATATAAGAAGAAATGATTTAAATTATCAAATGAATTTAATAATGTAAATTCTACCATTTTCTATTGATCAGAGAAAATTAATTATATAAATACATTTTTTTTATTAATATAATTGTAACTTGATTAATTGATAAAATCTTAAATTTTTTAAAAGTATTATAACTATTTCATAATAAATTTTAGATGGTTGTTTTATAACATATTAATAACAAGATTTTTTAAATTTTTATGTCATAAGAATGGATGTCATACAATTATAGAAGGAGCTATAGATTAAGGATCTTTAGTATCATCTTTAAATTCTAGAGTCTATTGGATTCCAGCAACTCCCATCATCTAACAAAAAGCATCAAATGTAATTTTATTCTAATTATTAGGATCAATATCAGATAACATTTAATTGATTTTTTCAATCGGAACTGAACGTCCATGTCTTGCAAATGATTCTCTAATTGCTTCTCTTGATAAATGATTTTCATTCTATGTATCAAAATACTTGAAAATAGACCATAATTTCTCTCTTGTGAAAACACGTCTTTCATCAATACAGGCAGTCAAAAAATCACTGTATTTAATAATTAAAGGTTTTGTTGAAGATTTGTTAGACAGAGATATTGTTATATCATCTAATTCATCAATACCATACCCAATTTTTTCCATGATTTATTCAATCTCTTCAATTGTGGTTAAGGAACCCTTACAATTATTTTCATTTTTACTTCTTGCTAAAGTGCTTGATGTAATTCTTACACTGTAATTGTGCCAGAATTATCAACATCAATATTTTTAAATATCTATTACAATCGTCCTAAATCTTTTTCATTCATCTGATTCACCAAGACTTTCATGACTTCCTTTTTAAATTTAGCCCCTATTCGATATGTTTTAAGCATTTAATATAAAGTTCTTTAATCATCTTCAGATTAAGTTCCTGAAAATCCAGTACTCCTTCTTGGAGGCCTATAAACTCCTTCCTTAAATAAAAGTTAAAACCATGGATGGTTAAGACATTCCTTGGCAGAATATCTTAAATTTTAATTTTTGTTAAGCATTCTCTTCAAGAGATCTTTTGCTTCGTCACTAGTACTTCTCCAATGTCTTCGATCAAATATCAACTAAAGTATTATTAAAAATTAATACATTTTGATATTTTATATTTTCATAAAGGTCTTCTCGATTTCTACCATAGAAAGGAGGATAACCTACAAGCATATTAAACAATAAAACTCCAAGACTCCAAATATCACATTTTTCATTATAAGTTCCTTCAATTACTTCTGGTGCTAAATAAACAGGTGTGCCTACCCCAGCTTTAAGTTTACTATATTATTATAGATATTTCCTTACTTGTAACTGAAAGAATCGTATTTCACTGATAGCCCAAAATCAATAAGTTTAGGCTCTGATCTGATGTCTCTCTCTGTAAACATAATATTTTCTGGTTTAATATCTCTATGTATAATTCCTTATTCATGAATGTAAGCAACTGCTGAAATAATCTACAAATAGTACTAATAATTACTTTAACCATGATATCTCTTGCTTAACCTTCAGTGTATGATTTTTAATTTTTGGGTTTGCTCTCCATAATTTCTGCTCCAGCACATTTCTCCATACAGATATAGAGGTAGAGTTCACTTTGATATACTTCATGGAATTTGATAATATTAGGGTGATCTAACCTTTGTAATATATAAATTTCATTGGCTAACATGGTTTCCATTCCTTTAACTTTTTTCTTGTCGATCATTTTTATAGCGTACTGTTTTTCGTTATTATTTCGCCTTCGTGCAGTGAGAACTTTACCGAAGGCTCCTATTCCTAGTACTTTCCCGAAAGAAAATATTTTATGAATGTCAGCAGTTGACGTAAAGATGTAATCTCTGTTTGTTGTTTGCATAGCGACAATTTTATTTATACTTTTTGGTTAAAAACAACCCATTATTTATTTTTATTATGCATATACAAGATCTTAGATTAGCTTNAATACCATACCCAATTTTTTCCATGATTTATTCAATCTCTTCAATTGTGGTTAAGGAACCCTTACAATTATTTTCATTTTTACTTCTTGCTAAAGTGCTTGATGTAATTCTTACACTGTAATTGTGCCAGAATTATCAACATCAATATTTTTAAATATCTATTACAATCGTCCTAAATCTTTTTCATTCATCTGATTCACCAAGACTTTCATGACTTCCTTTTTAAATTTAGCCCCTATTCGATATGTTTTAAGCATTTAATATAAAGTTCTTTAATCATCTTCAGATTAAGTTCCTGAAAATCCAGTACTCCTTCTTGGAGGCCTATAAACTCCTTCCTTAAATAAAAGTTAAAACCATGGATGGTTAAGACATTCCTTGGCAGAATATCTTAAATTTTAATTTTTGTTAAGCATTCTCTTCAAGAGATCTTTTGCTTCGTCACTAGTACTTCTCCAATGTCTTCGATCAAATATCAACTAAAGTATTATTAAAAATTAATACATTTTGATATTTTATATTTTCATAAAGGTCTTCTCGATTTCTACCATAGAAAGGAGGATAACCTACAAGCATATTAAACAATAAAACTCCAAGACTCCAAATATCACATTTTTCATTATAAGTTCCTTCAATTACTTCTGGTGCTAAATAAACAGGTGTGCCTACCCCAGCTTTAAGTTTACTATATTATTATAGATATTTCCTTACTTGTAACTGAAAGAATCGTATTTCACTGATAGCCCAAAATCAATAAGTTTAGGCTCTGATCTGATGTCTCTCTCTGTAAACATAATATTTTCTGGTTTAATATCTCTATGTATAATTCCTTATTCATGAATGTAAGCAACTGCTGAAATAATCTACAAATAGTACTAATAATTACTTTAACCATGATATCTCTTGCTTAACCTTCAGTGTATGATTTTTAATTTTTGGGTTTGCTCTCCATAATTTCTGCTCCAGCACATTTCTCCATACAGATATAGAGGTAGAGTTCACTTTGATATACTTCATGGAATTTGATAATATTAGGGTGATCTAACCTTTGTAATATATAAATTTCATTGGCTAACATGGTTTCCATTCCTTTAACTTTTTTCTTGTCGATCATTTTTATAGCGTACTGTTTTTCGTTATTATTTCGCCTTCGTGCAGTGAGAACTTTACCGAAGGCTCCTATTCCTAGTACTTTCCCGAAAGAAAATATTTTATGAATGTCAGCAGTTGACGTAAAGATGTAATCTCTGTTTGTTGTTTGCATAGCGACAATTTTATTTATACTTTTTGGTTAAAAACAACCCATTATTTATTTTTATTATGCATATACAAGATCTTAGATTAGCTTAAATTTAAAAAATAATAATCCATTAATCATATACCTTTAATTGAAAATATCGATGGATTTTGAAGTGTATTAAAAAATATATATATAAATTAATTTATAAATCATAATGCATTGTAATAGAGCATTTAGAATAAGAAAAAAAAAATTATTAATTATTCTTATTAGGCTTACTTCATTTTAATAATAAGAGTTTTTATAAATCATATAACTTTTTTGTGGATATAAATAATTAAACTTTAAGCCTTTTTTTAATTAAATAAATTTAACAATTAAGTTTAGTTTTTAAGTATTTTTTATATTAGCAAATAATTAATTCCTCTTCATTTAAGCCATAATTAATCTTTAAGTATTTTAATTTTTAAAGATTAATTATGGCAAAAATTAAGAAATACAAATTGAACAATTTAGAATAGAGTTTAAAGTGATAAAAACAAAAAAGTTTTGAAATAAAAAAAAGAATGATATTTTGAGTCAATTAAGTTGTGTATAAAATTATCATATCATCGAAGCAAGTTGAAAAATTAAGTTTATTTTCAAATATTGTTAATTTAACTTTGTTAATAAGAATATAAAGATATCAAACTCAAAATAAATAAAGAATAATAATTTGAAATTTTTGATATTTATTGAAAGAACATTATAAATTTAATTTTAAGTATATATAACCTTATCTTATAAAACTATAATTATTTAATNTAAACAATAAAACTCCAAGACTCCAAATATCACATTTTTCATTATAAGTTCCTTCAATTACTTCTGGTGCTAAATAAACAGGTGTGCCTACCCCAGCTTTAAGTTTACTATATTATTATAGATATTTCCTTACTTGTAACTGAAAGAATCGTATTTCACTGATAGCCCAAAATCAATAAGTTTAGGCTCTGATCTGATGTCTCTCTCTGTAAACATAATATTTTCTGGTTTAATATCTCTATGTATAATTCCTTATTCATGAATGTAAGCAACTGCTGAAATAATCTACAAATAGTACTAATAATTACTTTAACCATGATATCTCTTGCTTAACCTTCAGTGTATGATTTTTAATTTTTGGGTTTGCTCTCCATAATTTCTGCTCCAGCACATTTCTCCATACAGATATAGAGGTAGAGTTCACTTTGATATACTTCATGGAATTTGATAATATTAGGGTGATCTAACCTTTGTAATATATAAATTTCATTGGCTAACATGGTTTCCATTCCTTTAACTTTTTTCTTGTCGATCATTTTTATAGCGTACTGTTTTTCGTTATTATTTCGCCTTCGTGCAGTGAGAACTTTACCGAAGGCTCCTATTCCTAGTACTTTCCCGAAAGAAAATATTTTATGAATGTCAGCAGTTGACGTAAAGATGTAATCTCTGTTTGTTGTTTGCATAGCGACAATTTTATTTATACTTTTTGGTTAAAAACAACCCATTATTTATTTTTATTATGCATATACAAGATCTTAGATTAGCTTAAATTTAAAAAATAATAATCCATTAATCATATACCTTTAATTGAAAATATCGATGGATTTTGAAGTGTATTAAAAAATATATATATAAATTAATTTATAAATCATAATGCATTGTAATAGAGCATTTAGAATAAGAAAAAAAAAATTATTAATTATTCTTATTAGGCTTACTTCATTTTAATAATAAGAGTTTTTATAAATCATATAACTTTTTTGTGGATATAAATAATTAAACTTTAAGCCTTTTTTTAATTAAATAAATTTAACAATTAAGTTTAGTTTTTAAGTATTTTTTATATTAGCAAATAATTAATTCCTCTTCATTTAAGCCATAATTAATCTTTAAGTATTTTAATTTTTAAAGATTAATTATGGCAAAAATTAAGAAATACAAATTGAACAATTTAGAATAGAGTTTAAAGTGATAAAAACAAAAAAGTTTTGAAATAAAAAAAAGAATGATATTTTGAGTCAATTAAGTTGTGTATAAAATTATCATATCATCGAAGCAAGTTGAAAAATTAAGTTTATTTTCAAATATTGTTAATTTAACTTTGTTAATAAGAATATAAAGATATCAAACTCAAAATAAATAAAGAATAATAATTTGAAATTTTTGATATTTATTGAAAGAACATTATAAATTTAATTTTAAGTATATATAACCTTATCTTATAAAACTATAATTATTTAATTATACTTTAAATCCCATTATTTGAGCAAAATTACTCCAACATTAGATGTTTTTGATAGAAACTATTTTATTTCCTTTTTTTAGTTTTATTTTAGCAACTTTTTCGTTTAAATTTTTGCAAGAAAGTACTCCATTAAATTAATAATTTACAAAAATATCCTAAAATATTTTTTTTATTTTATATTTATTTAATTCAACTAACAATTTTTAATCATATTTTAAATTGATTATTGTTAAAGTGTTTTGAGTTGCAAATAAAATTCAAAAAATTTTAGATTTCTAATTATCAAAAACAGAATGATCTCTCTTATAATAAATTTTAATCTTTCATTTAACCTACTAAATGTTTTTAAGAATTTATGATTTATGTCTATTATTTCTCATTTTTATTTTATTTTAGATTAATTTATAACTCAAGTTTGAATTATAAATATTCATAAAGATTGAATTTCTTGATTTGATTCTTTAGCAAATTTATAAGGTCTTTTTATTAAGTTGTGCTTTATTCCAAAAATATTAATACAATTATTTATTAATCTGTAGAAATTTATTAATTTCCATATCTTTCACTTAGAATACCTCCTCTGCTTAATTTATAAGTAGTCATCCTTTTTTTTTACTAAAATATTAAAATTATTTTGTTGTTAAAATTAAAAATATAATTAAACCTTATGATTTTATGATATTAAAATAAATACTAAATAAAGACAAATGATAATAATAAAGCTGAAAGATTTTAGATATATGAATTTAAAAAATAAAATATAATGGTGAAAAAGTTATTTAAAATAATTTAATAAAATAAAAATGTTGAGTTTTAGAATATTAATCTCTATTGCATATTATTATATTAATTTTGTTTAACTTAGAGGACAGTTATTAATTCATTGATATATGCTGATTGAAAAAAATAAGATTTCTTTTTTTTATTGGAACAACATATATATTTTTTAATTTAAAAATCATAAACACCATCAAATAATTTCAACTAAATCTTAGAGTTAGTTTAAAAAAAAGAAATTATCAAGTTAAAATATTTGTTTTCTTAAAATTGTTGAATAAGCTAAAAGTATCAATTCAATTTGATTATTAAGGAGTTCATTTATATATATATGAAAGATTTAAAAAAAAGAATGAACTAAAAATAAAATTGCTCTATTCATATAATGAAATTAGGATAATACTCTTTTCTTATAATTATTGAATTAGTCTTCTATTTGTTTTAAAAAATGATAATAATTTAATTCAAATATTTATAATCAATGGGAGATATTTAAGGAGAGAGTGGGCAAACCTTAATTTAATCTGAATCGATAGGATTCTTTGAAAAAGTGAAGCAAATTATTTTTCAAGTTCTTTTTGTTTTAAGGAAAGATGAAGAATCAGAAGAGTCTTAATTATCATTTTATATATAAACTGGGTTAGATTACTTTTAAATGCATACTTTTCCCTTTAACGATACTATTTACTATTTATGGAAGGCAGACAATGTGATTGGGTTTGTTCTAAATTTTGTCAACCTCTTTTAATTAAGTACTTACATACCTAACATTTCATATTTTGCTCTATTGTCATCTGTATATATACTATTAGTAATTATTTTACTTATCATTTTGGATATAATTTATGTTAGTTACTCATTTTCTAAAAATCAATTTGCTGCAACATGGCCATTAGTTGTTTTGAGATCAGTTACTTCACTTGTAGTTACTGTATTGTTTTTGCCTATAACAGAAACTTTATTTTCTATATTATAATGTTAAACAGATCCTACAACTGGTGAATATATAATATCTGGTTATAGTGAAATTTATGTTGTTTGTTGGCAAGGATGGCATACATTCCATGCATTATTAACTTTGTTATTTATGTTCATGTTTGTAGCAATTTGTGCTATAGTAGCATATGCCTTTTTTGAACCAGGAATGATGAGTGATGATAAAACAGCAAGATAAGATAGTAAAGGAGAAGTGACATTCATTATTAATAAAGTAACATGTTAAGTTTTATATTGTTTTTTGGGAGAGAATCAATCATGGATCTTAGTATTAGCAACATTCTTAATGGCTGTATGGTTATTTTGGGAATATAATTTTGAAGATCCTTATTATGACTTAGAAGTAGGAAGATTCTATTCAATAATTTCTAGTTATTATTTATGGGCAAACATTTTATTATTGATATGTAAGATATTTGAAAATCAAAATTTTAATGGAGGATTTATTGCTTGGATAATAGGATTGCCTTTTATTGTTTCAATAATGTTAATGACAAAAAAGTCTAAAATTGATACCTTGATTAAAGTGTAAAAGAAAATTAGAAGTGGTAAGGAGATTTGGGCTCATATTCGTTATGTTTTGTAGCTTATATAATAATAAGAAAAGGATAGAAATTCTTATATGCTTTTGATTGGATATATTGAGAAACATAAAGAAACTTGTAAATATAATGATTGCTATTTTAAATTTAGTAGAAGAAGAAGTACAGAATTGGATATGAATGATATGATTAGAGGATTAATTTAAGAATTGGAAAAGATGTTTAAAGATGGTATAAAGAAATTTCCAAAAAGTGCTGAATTGAGGATCTTTTATGCATTGTTTATTATGGAAAGAAAGAAAAATAAAGAAGGAGCATATAAATAATTCGAACTTATAGATGATAAATGTAAACCAGCTTTATATTAATAATTTATAAAATATAGATATATGTAAGATATATTATTTTTTATTTTATAGGAAAAGTATTAAAGAAAATAAGAAAGAAAATAAAGATGATGATATTGTAGAGGCAATTAAATATAATAATCATTAAACAATGTGTGAAAAGAGTATGCAATAATCAGCTAAATTGTAAAAAGATTTTTGGGGAGAATTAAAAGAGGATTAACCTGATTTAGGTAAATTAATGAAGTTAGGTGCTGATATTACATATGTTACTAAAACAGCTAGACAGAATTATGAAGAAATGTAAAAGATATCCTAAAATGTATATTAGAGTGTTAAAATATATAGTAATTTTATTTTGTATGTTTTAAATGATTAAAAATTAGGAGGAGAATTAAGAAAAATTGCATAAAATATAAAAGAAGAATTTTAAAAAGAATATGGAGGAAGAAATGAATTTTTAAATATTGATAATTAACCTATTCCATTTATATAGGTGAGTGCTAAAAAGGCTGAAGTAGGTAAGATAGTAAATGTCAATACATTATTTACAACATTTTTTGGTTATTAAAAGGAAGAATTATTAAATAAATCAATTAATATTTTAATGCCTAAATTATATGCTGAAAAACATGATAATTATTTAATTGAATTTTTTGATAATATTGTTTTAAATCTAAAATTAGAAGGAGAAATTGATAGTTAATATTTAGATACAGATTAAACATAAATTTTTAAACATAAAAATGGTTATATAGTTCCATTTATATATCATGTTACTCTTAATTTAGAAACCATGAAATATCTGACAATATTTAAAAGTGAAAATACTATCAAAAGTTAAGTCATTTTTATTGTTGATAATTCTTCAAAAATAATAGAAATGTCATCTGGAGCAATCATATTTTTTGATTTGGAATTAAAATAAATAGAAAAAGATATTTATCTAAACAATTTTATCCCAAATATTTTATTATAAAATGAAAAACACATATAATATAATTAGCAAAGCAAAGATGGAGTTGAATGTAATATAGATATATTATATTAGAGACATTCTATTTTTAGTGTATGATTAAAGAGATTAAGCTCCCTTAAAAGATGGATGAAAGTAATCATGATAAGGGAAACTAATAGGATGATACTAATAATATTAAAACTGGAAAATGGTTGGTTAGATTAGAGAAATTAGAAAAGAATGAGGTCAATCTAGGAGGATAATAAAAGAAAAATAAAAATTTTGCTGTTAGCACTCGATAATTAATAACAGCAACAAATGTAAACAGCAATCCAAACTCATAAAAATATCTTTAGACTTCTAAAATTTAGGTTAACCAATCGATTGATGGACAAATACCTAAATTTGAGACGAATTTAGAGTTTGATCAATAATATGCAGTTTTTTTATCTGAATTATATTCGGAGCCTAGATATGATGATTATAAAATGCTTTTAAATTAATAAGTTGAAAGTGATGTTAATCCAATTGTAGATTATTCAAGTAATATTGTCATAAGAAGATTAATCAAGAATTAAATATTAAATATAGATGAAGAAAAAGAATAAGAATTTCTATTGTAATTAGAAGAGGAAGAAGAAGAAAATTCAATATTTAGATTTAATTAAAATTAATATGAAGATGAGGATGACTATAAAATATTTGCTCATAGAAACTCATAAGATCTAATACGACGAGTTCTTAATTAAGACCATAAACATTAAAAGATTACAGAGTTTAAAGTATATTCAAATCTTTGGATATTTTTTATCTTTTTTATTACAATTCTTTAATATTTATTCTGTTAATCATATTTTATTTCATACAAGGATAGTATTAAATCAATTTACTTGGTGAATAATGAAATAAATCAATAAAATTAAGTAATTTCTAGAGTATTAGATCTATGTCTACCTCAACAATTTAATATCACTTAATTATATGAAGAACTTTAATTAGCTGCCAGTAATGCAACTGATTTCAATAAATATATAAACTCTGCATTATTAAATAATTATTTTGAAGATCGAATAATAACATTAAGATTTTATGATGATGATCAATACACAGAGATAGATATAAAATTGGAGAGTGCACTATTGTTAATTGAATCTTTAGCCTTAAATACATCGCTTTATAATAATTAAACATTCAACTATAAAAGCAATGCTATTTAAAATATAGTTTATAATCATTTTAATGTTGTTCATTAATAGATTATTAGTATTGCATATGAGTTGTACTCAAATGTTGAAAGCTAGATGAATTAATATGATGTAAATTTATTAATTACTTTGGGGATACTAATTTTAGTCACATCTCTTGCTATGACAAAATTTATTACTTTGATGTTAAGTATTAAAATGGATAGAGAAAACATCTTATTCTTATTTTTAGATATTCCATAAAAACATATATCTATACTCTATAAAAAAGTAGAATATTTTATAAAAAATTATATCAGTATTGAGGAATTAAAAAGAAAAAATGAACTAGAAGGCTATGATTCAAGTGAAGAAGAATAAATATAGGAAGATTAAATTAAAATATAAAAAAATCCAGAAGAAGAAGACAACTTTATTTAATTACAATTAAAAAGAAAAAAAATTATTGAAAAATACAGAAAAAATAAGTTTAAAGGTAATCAAGCAATTATCATTTAATTTATATTTATAGCACTTTGTACTTTAATATTTGCTGTATATAATATAATTAGTTCAGCTAGTGAAAGAGGACAAATTAGATATATACTTCCCCAATACTTTTCAGGTTCAATGGATATTTCTGAATATGGAAATTATCTCAACATTTTTAAATTAGCAATATTGGATAATTAATATTAATTGATTAATTAAACATCTTATGAGTCAGCTTTTGCTGGTATTGATACTTTTACAGGTAACCAATTAAGTTCTTAAGCTTTTGCTTCTGCTTTATTGAATTAATTACCAACATTAAGGGAAATGTATTTTGGAATATATTATGGAGATATTTGTAATGAATTAGGATTTGATAGAAATGATTTGTGTTATTAAATTATAGAAGGAAATCTAGAACTTGGGATTTTCAATGTCGAATAATATTATTTATAATATTTTAGATATTAATTATCAATAAATTAAAACTATTAAATTGAATATGATCCATATATTTATTAGATAGATCAATCTTTGTATAATTATATAAGAAAAGCAGTAGATTAAGTATAAAGTTATTAATTATCAATGATGACTAATTAGATGGACAGCACATTAAATATATAACTTATACTTGTTATTATTTTCATTTTGGTGTTACTATTAATTTTTGTTATATATTGGCTTCCATTTCTAACTAGTACTAACTCATAGGTAAATTCAATTAAAATATTATAGATTAATTAAAATATACAAATGCTTAATATGATACCCATTGATGTAATTAAGGATAATAAAACTATTAGAAGATTTTTAAAAAACCTTATTAAGGATATGAATATTTAAGATTGATGATTAAATTATTTATATCTATTTATGTATAATAAATTATTTTATAAAATTCTAACTTATTAATAATTCAAAATCAGTAATTAAAGAGATGATTTATTCAATTAGGATAATTTTATCCATTAAGTATATTAAAATATTTTTAAATTAATAATAATAATTTATAAGAAAATTTTGATTGATTAATTTCAAACAATTATAAATAATCTACAAAAAATTTTAGAACATTTTAAAAAATTAATAATTAGGTTAGATTTGACTTTTTAAAGCTTTTGTAGAAAATTGCATGATGAAATAAACTAATTAATTCAATAGACCAAATATTCTAAATATTGTTTTGTAAATACTATTAATTTATATTACACTTTAATATTTATATATTAAAAAAGGGAAAAATCTTTCCATTTCTTCACTAAGAATGAATTTTGCCATATTTCATAAGGTTACATGCAAAATCTAGAAGGTATTTAATTTGATGATGTCATATTTAATTTGATAAATTAAAAATAAAAGATAAAATGTAAACGATCCGAATACTATTTTCGATTTTTATAGTCTCATGGTCATAGTGGGAACTTGTAAGTGAAGACTTGATGGGTTTCTCTGTGTCAAGTAATAAATGGAATTATAGGGACTCTTGTGATTGGGACAGTGGAACTATGGGTGGAGGTGGATCAGTTGATTAATGCTCTTCCTATAATATTATTGAATATATTTAAGTTGGAAGTTATAAAGTTAGAGCTTACTACTCTGTTTTGAATTTGCCTCCACATTACGAGGTCAAAGTTATTGTAGATGGTTATTTTTTAGACTCATCTTCGAGTACCACTTACACAGTTAAATATGAAGTATAAGGATCTTCAACTATTTATTCATTAGAATATAGGGATAATAAATTAGAATCATATGATAAAGCTTGTAGATCATCTTGGGATAAATTTGAAATACAAACATTTATTATGACATTTGATCATAATGATAATAGTGAGGTTCGATTCAGAGTGTGTGGAACAAATTTTAGTAATAGTCGAAATTATGGGATAAGAAATTTATAGATTTACGTTAATCCATGTCATTGGTCATGTTTAAAATGTAGCAGCAATTCAGCTAGTAATTGCTTAGCTTGCTTTACAAATCCATCTACTACTTTAGGTTCCCCTTCCACTTGTAGTAGTTGTCTACCTAATTATGCTTTTATTGAATATATTGATGATACAAAAAGTTGTGTAACTGAATGCCATTACTATAGAGTTCCAGATTCTAATAAAGTATGCTAATTTAACGAAAGTATTTATTTAAATTGACCCAGATATGCTTCCTTATATAACATACTTTGATACTACAACTTTTAGTTCTACATCTCCTTGGGTTTTTGTTCCTGACCCAATTAATTATAATTTAGTTTATTCCTAAAAAATTAGCTTAATCCCTTGTGAAACTAGCAAAAACTACGTAGGACCATTCTTCTCTAATGAAGCATTTAGTGTAACCTTATAAATACCTTATAATATATCTTATGTAAGATTTAGAGCAACAATCGTAAAGCTAAATGAATGGGCTGATTATTCAGCAGTTCATGTGCTTTTAGATAATATAGAATTTGCTTCTGTTTACACAATAAGTCAAGTACTTACAGGTAGAGATGCTGATAAATTATATTCTGAATCAATTTGTACACCTCCAACTGTTGGATATTTTAGATTGGAAGCTAAATTAAAATCAAACATCACCAATCCTGTATTAACCTTGTAAGGATCTATGGAGTATATTTATATATATATTGTTAAGTTAGTATGGCTTATAATCATGGGGCTTTCGAGATGTTGTTATGGATATTATGCGATGTTAATCATCATGTAGTTAGTGTGATTTTGATTTAAAATGCTATGCTTGTTCAACAGGATTTCTTTATAAGAATAGGTGTGTACCCAGTTGTCCAGTTCACTCTGTTGAAACTACTGGAGTTTGTACAGATTTTGATGAGCCAGTAGATTGTATACATTTTATACTAATACTAGATACAAAGTATTTAATTAAAGAATTTTATGATTCATCAAATACAACAGATATTGATCTGAACAATATTGTAGAGTCAATATCAACAATAGATGATGATTTTTCGACATCAGATCACTTTTTAAACACAAATATTGATATTTACTTTAGTTATTATATGGGAAAAAGGGTATTTGGAGGTCCGTTAGTTTGGCATGAAGCTACATTTACTAAAACATACACATTAAATCCACATTATAAATTTAGATTGAAATTTACATTAATTTTAGGAGATGAATTAGATGGAGATTTTCAATACACAATTGGAGGATATTCTGATACTATAGATTATAGCGAATGTCCACATACAGCCTCAAAAATAGGAAGGGATAAATAAGATAAATACACTACAATTGACAGGACATTAAATCATAATACTGCAAGTTTTTCTGTTTTAATGAGATGCCATTCAGACGAATCAATTGAAGATGGTTTTTGCATAGTTTTTGATTATTTTATTCTCATTTATGAAGTAAATAATTAATACATATTAGTGTATTGAAAGATGTACTGCTTGCACTGGTCCTACTTGGGCATAGTGTACTGGAAAACAAGCATTACCAGTTGGAATGTCATCACCATCAACATGTGTTGATAATACTTATTATTTAGATTAGACAGTTACTCCTGCTGTTTGTCGAACTTGCACTCCATCTTACTGCTTAGAATGTAAAAATTCTTATATTTGTACTAAATGTGCTTCTAACTTTTATTTATAAAATGGAAATTGTTAATGTTATCCATGGACATATTTAACAACTTCTAATACTTGTGCAAACTGTCATCCTTTATGCGGATCTTGTTATGGTCCCAATAGTAATTAGTGTTTGTCTTGCAATAATTATTAACATCGATATTTGAATAATAATATTTGTCTTTGTTTAAGTAATTATTATGATGATGGTGTTAATTATAAATGTTAATCAATTTGTGGTGATATGATAGTAACTGAAGGAGAGGATTGTGATGATGGTAATACAATTAGATTTGATGGTTGTAATAATTGCAAATTTGAATGTTAAAAAGAATGCCAAACTTGTGTTAATGGATAATGTTCAGTATGTGCTGTAGGTTACACTCTTTAAAAAACTATGAAAAGATGTTTTCCTACATGTGGAAATATTTCTATTGTTAGTTAAGAATAATGTGAGGATAATAATTTGACTCCTTATGATGGTTGTTATAACTGTTAATTTTAATGTTAACTCTAATGTACAAATTGCATTTATGGAAAATGTTACTAATGTGATAATTCAATTGGTTATTATATTAATTTAGCCACTTTTAAATGTGTTACTTTATGTGGGGATTTAATTGTTGCTGGAGGAGAAATGTGTGATGATGGTAATAATATACCTTTTGATGGATGTAATAGTTGTGCTTATTCTTGCGATTCCTTTTGTGATTTATGCATCTTAGGTGTTTGTACAAAGTGCAAATAAGGGTTCTAATTATTAAGTAAAAGTGGTTAATGTGCTCCAATTTGTGGAGATAAAATTGTTACATACTATGAAGGATGTGACGATGGCAACATAATTAATTATGATGGATGTGATTAATGTTCACTCACTTGTTAAGAATAGTGTACATCTTGCATATTAGGAAAATGTTATGAATGCAATACAACTGGATATTAATTAAATCAAAAACTTAATAAATGTATTCCTTTATGTGGGGATTATGTTATATCTACATTAAATGAATAATGTGATGATGGCAATAATATATTTGAAGATGGATGTTATTAATGTAAATATGAATGTTAAGCTGAATGTCTAACATGTGCAGCTGGAATCTGTTATAATTGCAAATCAAATTTCTATCTTAGTTCAGATAATATTTGTCTTCCTATTTGTGGGGATGGCATTATTACTAAATTTGAATCATGTGATGATAAAAACTATGTTATTGAGGATGGATGTTCTTTATGCNTGAAGTAAATAATTAATACATATTAGTGTATTGAAAGATGTACTGCTTGCACTGGTCCTACTTGGGCATAGTGTACTGGAAAACAAGCATTACCAGTTGGAATGTCATCACCATCAACATGTGTTGATAATACTTATTATTTAGATTAGACAGTTACTCCTGCTGTTTGTCGAACTTGCACTCCATCTTACTGCTTAGAATGTAAAAATTCTTATATTTGTACTAAATGTGCTTCTAACTTTTATTTATAAAATGGAAATTGTTAATGTTATCCATGGACATATTTAACAACTTCTAATACTTGTGCAAACTGTCATCCTTTATGCGGATCTTGTTATGGTCCCAATAGTAATTAGTGTTTGTCTTGCAATAATTATTAACATCGATATTTGAATAATAATATTTGTCTTTGTTTAAGTAATTATTATGATGATGGTGTTAATTATAAATGTTAATCAATTTGTGGTGATATGATAGTAACTGAAGGAGAGGATTGTGATGATGGTAATACAATTAGATTTGATGGTTGTAATAATTGCAAATTTGAATGTTAAAAAGAATGCCAAACTTGTGTTAATGGATAATGTTCAGTATGTGCTGTAGGTTACACTCTTTAAAAAACTATGAAAAGATGTTTTCCTACATGTGGAAATATTTCTATTGTTAGTTAAGAATAATGTGAGGATAATAATTTGACTCCTTATGATGGTTGTTATAACTGTTAATTTTAATGTTAACTCTAATGTACAAATTGCATTTATGGAAAATGTTACTAATGTGATAATTCAATTGGTTATTATATTAATTTAGCCACTTTTAAATGTGTTACTTTATGTGGGGATTTAATTGTTGCTGGAGGAGAAATGTGTGATGATGGTAATAATATACCTTTTGATGGATGTAATAGTTGTGCTTATTCTTGCGATTCCTTTTGTGATTTATGCATCTTAGGTGTTTGTACAAAGTGCAAATAAGGGTTCTAATTATTAAGTAAAAGTGGTTAATGTGCTCCAATTTGTGGAGATAAAATTGTTACATACTATGAAGGATGTGACGATGGCAACATAATTAATTATGATGGATGTGATTAATGTTCACTCACTTGTTAAGAATAGTGTACATCTTGCATATTAGGAAAATGTTATGAATGCAATACAACTGGATATTAATTAAATCAAAAACTTAATAAATGTATTCCTTTATGTGGGGATTATGTTATATCTACATTAAATGAATAATGTGATGATGGCAATAATATATTTGAAGATGGATGTTATTAATGTAAATATGAATGTTAAGCTGAATGTCTAACATGTGCAGCTGGAATCTGTTATAATTGCAAATCAAATTTCTATCTTAGTTCAGATAATATTTGTCTTCCTATTTGTGGGGATGGCATTATTACTAAATTTGAATCATGTGATGATAAAAACTATGTTATTGAGGATGGATGTTCTTTATGCACTTTCTAATGTGAAAAAACTTGTACTCAATGCTATTTTGGCGTCTGTAAATCATGTCAATCTGGATATTATTTAGATAAATCAGTTTAGTAATGCTTTCCTATTTGTGGTGACAAAATTATATAAGGAGATGAGTAATGTGATATTGGTATTATTTCTTTTGATGATAATATTAGAAACAATACAGGATGCATAAATTGCAAGTTATAATGTTCACCCTAATGTGAAATTTGCATATAAGGCTAATGTTTAAAATGTAAGGAATCTTTGGGATGGTATTTAGATAATGAAACATCTTCTTGCTATAGTTTATGTGGAGATTCAATTATTAGTGATTATGAAGAATGTGAGGATTCTAATTCTTAATTAAATGATGGATGCAGTCAATGTATGTTTAAATGTTCACAAGAATGCTCAATTTGTATTTTTGGATTATGCTATCAATGTAAATCAGGTTATACATTAATTAATTAAAAATGTCTACCTGTTTGTGGTGATGGTATAATTGCTGGTAATGAGGAATGTGATACAGGATTAATTTATTTTGATGGATATGAATGTGTGAATTGTAAATTTAAATGTTCAGAAGGATGCAATAATTGTGTTTATGGATAATGTTTAGAATGTAAAAATAATTATGGATGGTATTTAAATTTAAATAATTAATGTGAATCTAAATGTGGAGATTTAATTATCAATAATTAAGAGAATTGTGATGAGAATTCACAAAATTGTGAAAATTGTAATTTTATTTGTGATGATAATTGTAATTAATGTTAATTTGGAATTTGTTAAAGTTGTATTCTAGGTTATAAATTACTATTAAATAAATGTATTAGTATTTGTGGAGATTAAATATAAACAAATAATGAAGATTGTGAAAATGATGATATTATCCCATTTGATGGTTGTTACTTATGTAAATTTTAATGTTAAGATGAATGTTAATAATGTGTAAATGGAGAATGTATATCATGTAATGAAACTTAAGGATGGTATTTATAAAATAAAAGATGTGTGTCAAAATGTGGAGATGGTATTATTGCTGGATTAGAAGAATGTGATATCAATTTGAATTATGATAATGGAGATATTTCATTTAATTAATGTTTTAATTGTAAATTATCTTGTGTTTAAAATTGTTTAAATTGTGATAGAGGAATTTGTACATTATGTTAAAATGGATATTTTTTAAATAATTTAAATGAATGTGAAAATATATGTGGTAATTTATCTACTGAAGACTTTGAAGTATGTGATGATGATAATCTCAATGGTTTTGATGGTTGTTTCTAATGTTAATATGATTGTTAATCTAATTGTTAAGTATGTGTAAATGGATAATGTATTTTATGTGAAGATGGATTTCTATTTGATTAAGATACTTAAACATGTTAATCTATATGTGGAGATATGAAATTAACTTAATATGAAGAGTGTGATGATGGTAATGATATACCATATGATGGATGTCATAATTGTAAGTATTCTTGTACTGAAAATTGTGATAATTGTATAGAAGGTGTTTGTTAAAGTTGTTAATAAGGTTTCTTACTTGCTTTTCCGAAATGTATTCCTGATTGTAAAGATATAATTTAGATTAATAATTATGATTAATGTAATTTAAAAGAATGTTAAAGAGAATGTATAATTTGTATAAAAGGAGATTGTTATTAATGTTAAAATGGATGGTATTTGAATTAAGTAGAATATATTTGTGAAAGTATGTGTGGAGATTAAATTATAGTTGGTTAAGAATAATGTGAAAATTTGTTAAGTTATACAAGAGATGATTCTTAATGTAATAATTAATGTTAATTTGAATGTCCTTATAATTGTTATAGTTGTTCATTTGGTATTTGTTAAGAATGTTAATAAGGATATTATTTAATAGAAAATGAATGTCATAATTATTGTGGTGATTATTAAATTACAAAATAAGAGTAATGTGATGATGATAATATATAACCATTTGATGGTTGTTTCTAATGTCGATTAGATTGTGAAGAATAATGTTCTATATGTATTGATGGAATATGTGAAATGTGTTTAATTGGATATGAAATAATAGATGGAAGTTGTTATTCTATTTGTGGAGATGGTATAATTACTGTTCATGAGGATTGTGATGATTAAAATTCTATTAAACATGATGGATGCGATTAATGTAAATTTTAATGTGATTAAAATTGTTATTTTTGTGAATTTGGTAAATGTATATTTTGTTCAAATGGATATTACTTATTAAATGGAGTGTGTATTCCTGTTTGTGGTGATGGTATAATTGCTGGTAATGAGGAATGTGATACAGGATTAATTTATTTTGATGGATATGAATGTGTGAATTGTAAATTTAAATGTTCAGAAGGATGCAATAATTGTGTTTATGGATAATGTTTAGAATGTAAAAATAATTATGGATGGTATTTAAATTTAAATAATTAATGTGAATCTAAATGTGGAGATTTAATTATCAATAATTAAGAGAATTGTGATGAGAATTCACAAAATTGTGAAAATTGTAATTTTATTTGTGATGATAATTGTAATTAATGTTAATTTGGAATTTGTTAAAGTTGTATTCTAGGTTATAAATTACTATTAAATAAATGTATTAGTATTTGTGGAGATTAAATATAAACAAATAATGAAGATTGTGAAAATGATGATATTATCCCATTTGATGGTTGTTACTTATGTAAATTTTAATGTTAAGATGAATGTTAATAATGTGTAAATGGAGAATGTATATCATGTAATGAAACTTAAGGATGGTATTTATAAAATAAAAGATGTGTGTCAAAATGTGGAGATGGTATTATTGCTGGATTAGAAGAATGTGATATCAATTTGAATTATGATAATGGAGATATTTCATTTAATTAATGTTTTAATTGTAAATTATCTTGTGTTTAAAATTGTTTAAATTGTGATAGAGGAATTTGTACATTATGTTAAAATGGATATTTTTTAAATAATTTAAATGAATGTGAAAATATATGTGGTAATTTATCTACTGAAGACTTTGAAGTATGTGATGATGATAATCTCAATGGTTTTGATGGTTGTTTCTAATGTTAATATGATTGTTAATCTAATTGTTAAGTATGTGTAAATGGATAATGTATTTTATGTGAAGATGGATTTCTATTTGATTAAGATACTTAAACATGTTAATCTATATGTGGAGATATGAAATTAACTTAATATGAAGAGTGTGATGATGGTAATGATATACCATATGATGGATGTCATAATTGTAAGTATTCTTGTACTGAAAATTGTGATAATTGTATAGAAGGTGTTTGTTAAAGTTGTTAATAAGGTTTCTTACTTGCTTTTCCGAAATGTATTCCTGATTGTAAAGATATAATTTAGATTAATAATTATGATTAATGTAATTTAAAAGAATGTTAAAGAGAATGTATAATTTGTATAAAAGGAGATTGTTATTAATGTTAAAATGGATGGTATTTGAATTAAGTAGAATATATTTGTGAAAGTATGTGTGGAGATTAAATTATAGTTGGTTAAGAATAATGTGAAAATTTGTTAAGTTATACAAGAGATGATTCTTAATGTAATAATTAATGTTAATTTGAATGTCCTTATAATTGTTATAGTTGTTCATTTGGTATTTGTTAAGAATGTTAATAAGGATATTATTTAATAGAAAATGAATGTCATAATTATTGTGGTGATTATTAAATTACAAAATAAGAGTAATGTGATGATGATAATATATAACCATTTGATGGTTGTTTCTAATGTCGATTAGATTGTGAAGAATAATGTTCTATATGTATTGATGGAATATGTGAAATGTGTTTAATTGGATATGAAATAATAGATGGAAGTTGTTATTCTATTTGTGGAGATGGTATAATTACTGTTCATGAGGATTGTGATGATTAAAATTCTATTAAACATGATGGATGTGATTAATGTAAATTTTAATGTGATTAAAATTGTTATTTTTGTGAATTTGGTAAATGTATATTTTGTTCCAATGGCTTTTAATTATAAGGTGAAAAATGTACTCCAGTTTGTGGAGATGGTTTAGTTGTTGGAAATGAGAAATGTGATGATGGTAATATAATTGATGAAGATGGATGTTTTGAATGCCAATATTCTTGTTAATAATAATGTTAAACTTGCTTATATGGATCATGTATCATATGTAATGAAGAGGAAGGTTGGCATTTAACTTCACAAGGAGATTGCTAAACCGTTTGTGGAGATAATAAAGCTGCTGGGCTAGAATAATGCGATGATGGCAATGAAATCAATTATGATGGTTGTTATTTATGTAAATATATTTGCCAAGATGCTTGTACAAAATGTGTAAATGGTTAATGTTATGAATGTAATACACCAGGTTGGAGATTAGAAAATTATTTTTGTTGGGAAATATGCGGAGATGCACTGAAAGTTGGTATTGAAGAATGTGATGATGGTAATGATATCCCTTATGATGGATGTTTTGAGTGTAAGACTTAATGTGAAGAAGCTTGCAAGATTTGTGCAGATGGATAATGTTAAGAATGTATATTTGGTTGGCTTTTAAATGAAAATCATAGATGTGAAACAATTTGTGGAGATAAATATATAGTACCTATTTTTGAAGATTGTGATGATGGCAATCTCTTACCTTATGATGGATGCTATGAATGTAATTATTAATGTGTTTAACATTGTACTGATTGTAGAAAGGATGTATGCTACGAATGTAATACAACTGGATGGACGTATGAGAATAAAACTTAATAATGCATTCCTATATGTGGGGATGGAGAGATCAATGGATAAGAATAATGTGATGATGGGAATAAAATTGAACTCGATGGTTGTAGTAATTCTTGTGAATATTAATGTCATTTTGCTTGTCTTAATTGTGATAAAGGTAAATGTTTAGAATGTGATCGATATTTGGGATTTTTTGAATCGAATAATTAATGTGCATCAAAATGTGGAGATGGTTTATGGGAAGAATATACTGAGTAATGTGATGATGGCAACCTTATTAATTAGGATGGTTGTGATAAAAACTGTAAGATTGAAGTGGATTGGTATTGTAAAAATGAACCATTACAAATTAGTATTTGTATCTTCAAAAGATAGCCTTGTGTTGAATTAAAGTTACTATCATAAGAAGAGGGATTATCTAAAATAGAAGTGACATTCTCAACTTTAATGATGTCTTAATAAAACAACATCATGATTGAAAATGAAAATAATCCCACAATGACTGACATGTAGCTTTTCTTAGTCAGAGTTGATGAATTAAATGAATCAGATTTTGAATATGCTATAGAACCTGTAGTTGCCATTTAAGAATTTCCTTAAGAAGTTAAATATATCATAGATTTAAAAATATTGAAGAATATTTCAATTGATTAAATAAATGTTATGGTAATTGTTGATAAAAAATTGATTATTACTGAAGATTTTGTCAATTTAGAATAAAATTCAGGTCAAATTAAAATAGCAGTACCTTTTATGGAAAGTGAACTTTCTAAAAAAGTAGTTGAACTGTTTTCGAATGCAAATGAAGTATCTATGTATGCTGCTATGAGTGTTTCTTTATTAAGTGTATTTTCTACAGGTTATTCAAATCTTTACATGACACTTGATACAATTTAATATCTTTATTACACAAGATATATTAATCTAGATTTTCCTTAAAATTTACAATAAAATATGGACAATCTAAAGAAGTCTTCCTTGAGTTCAATCGTTAATAATAAACTTTCTGAAACAGGTTTATCCAAAAAGATTACTGCTCAATCTAAAGAAAATAATTAAAAAGATGAAGGAATGCCAAATAAATTTAAATAAGATAATCTGCAGTATCAATTTAGTTCAAATATAAAAACAACTGCTGTCTCATTATCAGCAGGTCTGAGCATCTTCTTAACAACTTTATCTCTATCTAAACTACTTCATTTGATTCCACCTCATAAGCTAGATGATTTGGGTTCGATAATTGGTGGGGGAATCTTAAAGGTTAGATAAAAATGCACTAAGATATCTAATGACTTTGTTTATTCTGGTGCTATAAGATTAATAACGATTAATTTTTATGAGATGTAATTTGCATCATTATTATAACTATCAAATGTTAGTTTTAATTCATATAATGATATAGCAAATAATAGTGGGGCTGCTGCTACTCTAGCCTTTACTTGCATGTTTACAAGTTTACTTATTCATAAAATAAGATAGATCTAAACTAAATAATCTCTATCAATGAAACATAATATTAAAACTTTATTCTAATCAGATGAGAAGAGTCATTTAAAGTCAACATGGTAGGTGTAATATAATACAATTTTGCTTGTGAAAAAGTCATTTTATATGTTAACAATAGTTTGTTTCTAAAGCTAAGGCCTTTATTAAACAGTTGGTGTTGCGACATAAGCTGCAGCATTTGCAACTTATTTGGCTGTATCTTCACCATTTTCAAATAATGAGGATCAAATTAAGCAGTTGATCACAGAATTAGGAATGTTTGCCAATACTCTAAGTTTTAGTACATACTATACATATGAATACTTTTCAATATCAAAAGAAAGTTTAAATTAAATTGGATGGTTTAATATAGGCATTTTTACAACAATATTAACTTCAAATTTAGCAATTGATTTTACTTCTTAAATTAGAATATTATACAAAAAAGCAAAGAAGATTTTCAGTAAATTTATTTAAGATTAGAGGCCTACTTAATCAAGAGTTTAACCAATTTTTGTTTGATAATAATAATTTTTTTAAAAACTATATCAAACTAATTTATTTTTTATTTGGTATTTTTCTCGCAATTTTATTGTTTTTCAATTTATATGTAAATATTAATATAATAAAATATGTATAAACTATTAGTTATGAAAATATTATACCGCTTAATTTCAAGGTATTATTTGTTGTAACCTGGTAAAGTACACAAGTCTGTTTAAAAACTTTATTGTTAGATCAGGGATAGGTTAAAATCAATACCCTCTAATTGGATACATAGTATTTATTCTTCATTTTAAACATATGAGAATACTACCATAGTAGTATAAATTATTATTAATAATACCCTAAAATTTATTATGATTAAATTAATTGTGGCATATAAATGATAAGAAATAATATTACTTTTAATAAAAATTAAAATAAAGAAATTGTTCAGTAAAATCATTGAATAGATTAATAAGTGAAAGAAATATAGTTATTATTTTTGAAAAAAAAGAAAAGATCTTATTACAAAAATAAAAGAAATTTAAGATAAATCTTCTGCTTTTTTGATTAACATAAATAAGACTATTTAAATATATGAAGAACATTTTCTTAAATAAATATCTGAAAATGTTAATGATTTTCCTGAATAATCCTTAAGAAATATTAAAAAGTAAACAATAATAATATAAATTATTAAAAAAGATTACAAATAATATCTTTTCAATTATTCGAAATTTTAAGAGTTGTAATGAAGGAAAATCCTACTTTTAAATTAATTTTCAAAGATTATTCATAGATAAAAGCATATAATAGTTTAATGATGAATAAAAACATAATAATTAAAAATAAAATTGGCAAAAAAGATAGTTTTCAATTTGAGTCAATTAGATTGGGTTCTGATTTAATATCAAAATTTATGAATATAATTTGTTCTGGTCTATTATCCCTAAAAGTATTTCCTTACCTACAAATTACAAATGGATAGTACAGTTAAAAAGATCTATAAATAGCATAATTAATTACTTTAATTTAATTTCCTTTGCATCACCTTTTGTGTATGATCTTATATTTTTGAGATTACTCTCCTTACGTTCTTTTCCAAAATATTTTTCCATATGAGAGAGAATTAATAGCAACAAATAAAAATACAAACAGCAATCCAACCTATAAAAAATGTTTCTATACTTCTAAAATTTATGTTAACCAATCAATTGATTGACAAAAACCCAAATTTTAAATAATTTAGAGATTGATCAATAATATGCATTTTTATTTGTATTATGAGAGCCTTAGTTTTAGATTTATAAGTTGAAAGTGACATTAATCGAATTGTGGATTATTCAAGTAATATTGTAATAAGAAGATTAATCAAGAATTAAATATTAAATATAGATGAAGAAAAAGAATAAGANTACCGCTTAATTTCAAGGTATTATTTGTTGTAACCTGGTAAAGTACACAAGTCTGTTTAAAAACTTTATTGTTAGATCAGGGATAGGTTAAAATCAATACCCTCTAATTGGATACATAGTATTTATTCTTCATTTTAAACATATGAGAATACTACCATAGTAGTATAAATTATTATTAATAATACCCTAAAATTTATTATGATTAAATTAATTGTGGCATATAAATGATAAGAAATAATATTACTTTTAATAAAAATTAAAATAAAGAAATTGTTCAGTAAAATCATTGAATAGATTAATAAGTGAAAGAAATATAGTTATTATTTTTGAAAAAAAAGAAAAGATCTTATTACAAAAATAAAAGAAATTTAAGATAAATCTTCTGCTTTTTTGATTAACATAAATAAGACTATTTAAATATATGAAGAACATTTTCTTAAATAAATATCTGAAAATGTTAATGATTTTCCTGAATAATCCTTAAGAAATATTAAAAAGTAAACAATAATAATATAAATTATTAAAAAAGATTACAAATAATATCTTTTCAATTATTCGAAATTTTAAGAGTTGTAATGAAGGAAAATCCTACTTTTAAATTAATTTTCAAAGATTATTCATAGATAAAAGCATATAATAGTTTAATGATGAATAAAAACATAATAATTAAAAATAAAATTGGCAAAAAAGATAGTTTTCAATTTGAGTCAATTAGATTGGGTTCTGATTTAATATCAAAATTTATGAATATAATTTGTTCTGGTCTATTATCCCTAAAAGTATTTCCTTACCTACAAATTACAAATGGATAGTACAGTTAAAAAGATCTATAAATAGCATAATTAATTACTTTAATTTAATTTCCTTTGCATCACCTTTTGTGTATGATCTTATATTTTTGAGATTACTCTCCTTACGTTCTTTTCCAAAATATTTTTCCATATGAGAGAGAATTAATAGCAACAAATAAAAATACAAACAGCAATCCAACCTATAAAAAATGTTTCTATACTTCTAAAATTTATGTTAACCAATCAATTGATTGACAAAAACCCAAATTTTAAATAATTTAGAGATTGATCAATAATATGCATTTTTATTTGTATTATGAGAGCCTTAGTTTTAGATTTATAAGTTGAAAGTGACATTAATCGAATTGTGGATTATTCAAGTAATATTGTAATAAGAAGATTAATCAAGAATTAAATATTAAATATAGATGAAGAAAAAGAATAAGAATTTCTATTGTAATTAGAAGAAGAGGAAGAAGAAAATTCAATATTTAGATTTAATTAAAATTAATATGAAGATGAGGATGACTATAAAATATTTGCTAATAAAAACTCATAAGATCTAATACGACGAGTTCTTAATTAAGACCATAAACATAAAAAGATTACAGAGTTTAAAGTATATTCAAATCTTTGGATATTTTTTTATCTTTTTTATTACAATTCTTTAGTATTTATTCTGTTAATCAAACTCCATTACTTAAAAAGAAAGTATTAAATCAATTTACTTGGTGAATAATGAAATAAATTAATAAAATTTAGTAATTTCTAAAGTTTCTCTACCTAAAAAAATTTAACATCATTTAATTATATGAAGGACTTTAATTAACTGCAAGTAATAAAACTGGTTTCAATTAATAGATAAACTCTTCATTATTAGATAATTTCTTTAAACTTCAATGGAAACTAATTAAATTCTTAAGGTTTTGCTTCTGCTTTGTTGAATTAATTACCAACTTAAGAGATATGTATTTTGGAATATATTATGGAGATATTTGTAATGAATTAGGATTTGATAGAAAAGATTTGTGTTATTAAATTATAGAAGGAAATCTAGAACTTGGGATTTTCAATGTCGAATAATATTATTTATAATATTTTAGATATTAATTATCAATAAATTAAAACTATTAGATTGCATATGATCCATATATTTATTAGTTAGATTAATCTTTGTATAATTACATAAGAAAATCAGTAGATTAAGTATAAAGTTATTAATTATCAATGATGACTAATTAGATGGACAGCACATTGAATATATAACTTATACTTGTTATTATTTTCATTTTGGTGTTACTATTAATTTTTGTTATATATTGGTTTCCATTTCTAACGAGTACTAAATCATAGGTAATTTCAATTAATATATTATAGATTAATTAAAATATACAAATGCTTAATATGATACCAAAGATGTAATTAAAGATAATAAGGCAATTAGAAGATTTATAAAGAATCTAATTAAGGATACGAATATTTAAGATTTATTATTTAATTATTTTATTTCCATTTATATATTAAATTATTGTATAAAATTCTCGCTTAACAATAATTTACTAAATATTCTAAATTATGAGTTAAAAGAATTAAATTAAGAAAAAAAGTATACAAACAAAAGGATTAGATAATAACTTTTCTTAAAAACATTTTTGAGGGAATTTTATAAGAAATGTCAATTTTCAAACTTAATTAGATAATTAATTGTTTAAAACATATTTTTGTACATCTCAATAAACTTCAAAAAAAATATCCTCCAATATAAGTAATTTATTAAAACTGCTAATCTAGTTGTAATACCTTATTATTTTTTTTATTATATCATTAGAAGTTAATCAAAAAAAATTAATTAAATAATAAATCAAATATCAAAAAGTAAAATTTTAATTCAAAGAAATATACCTTAAGAATAATGAAACATAAAGTTAATAATGTATAAAGTTTTTAAGATGTTGAAAAGAATCAATTGATGTATAAAAGATTTGAATTCAAATTAATTACGTTAAATCGATCAACTAAAGATTTTCTTTCTGAATAATTTTGGGTCATTAATTAAAGAATTATTTTAATAATTCATTATGATCTCATATAAAATTCTAATGCTCATTTGTTATGGTGAAGATGGATCATTCAATCTTCCTCAAGAAGTTGTTACTGATTGGGAAAAATAAAATAACAAATATATTATTAATATTGAATTTAATTTGATGATGTCACATTTAATTAGATAAATTAAAGAAAAAATGTATACAATGCGAATACTTCTTTCGATTTTTGTAATCTCAAAGACATAGTGGCTACTTGTAAGTGAAGATTTGCTAGATTTCTCCGTTTCTGCTGCAAATTGGTATTATAAAGGTTCATGCGATTGGAACGGTGGTGCATAGGGTGGAGCTGGTGCAGTTTCGAAATGCAATGATAATGATATATAATACATTCTTGCTGGGAATTATAATGATAGAGTTTACTATTCGGTTTTAAATTTGCCTCCACATTACTAAATTAAAGTCATTGTGGATGCATATTTTTTAGATTCTTAAAGTAGTTTCTAAGATGTTGCATATGATGTTTAAGGATCTTCAACTGGAACTTATTCATTATAATATAAAGACAGCACATTGTTAAATTATTAAGTAGCCTGTAAAGCAAGTTGGAATAACTTTGAAATATAAACCTTTATGTTGACATTTACTCATAATGATAATAGTGAAATTAGGTTTAGAGTCTGTGCAACAAGCTTTGGAAGCAAAAATTATGGGATAAGAAATTTATAGATTTATGTTAATCCATGTCATTGGTCATGTTTAAAATGTAGTTCTAGCAATTCAGCTAGCAATTGCTTAGCTTGCTTTACAAATCCATCTACTACTTTAGGTTCCCCTTCTACTTGTGGTAGTTGTCTACCTAATTATGCTTTTATTGAATATATAGATGATACAAAAAGTTGTGTAACTGAATGCCATTACTATAGAGTTCCAGATTCTAATAAAGTATGCTAATTTAACGAAAGTATTAAATTAACTTAACTTTAGATATGCTTCCTTTTACAACATACTTTGACACTACAACATTTAGTTCTACATCTCCTTGGGTATTTGTTCCGGACCCGATTAATTATAATTTAGTTTATTCTTAAAAGATTAACTCTATATCATGCTAAACTAGCAAAAACTATGTAGGACCATTTTATTATAATGAAGGATTTAGTGTAACCTTATCAATTCCTTATAATATATCTTACATAAGATTTAGAGCAACAATTATAAAATTCAATGATTGGGCTGATTATTCAGCTGTTCATGTGTTATTAGATAATATAGAATTCGGTTCTGTTTACACATTAGGTCAAGTACTTACAGGTCGAAATGCTGATAAATTATATTCTGATTCAAATTGTACAAATCCTACTGTTGGATATTATAGATTAGAAATTAAATTAAAATCCAATATCACAAATCCTTAAATATCATTATATGGATCTATGGAGTATATTTATATATATATTGTTAAGTTAAGTTGGCTCACAATCATGGGGCTTTCGAGATGTAGTTATGGATGTCATGAAATGTTAATCATCATGTAGTTGGTGTGATTTTGATTTGAAATGCTATGCTTGTTCAACAGGATTTCTTTATAAGAATAGGTGTGTACCAAGTTGTCCAGTTCACTCAGTCCAAACTACTGGAGTTTGTACAGATTTTGATGAGCCAGTAGATTGTATACATTTTATATTAATACTAGATACAAAATATTTAATTAAAGCATTTTATGATTCATCGAATACAACTGATACTAATGTAAATACAATTGTAGGTACTATGACAAATGGAAATTCTGATTTTAAGACATCAGATCACTTTTTCAACACAAATATTGATGTTTATTTTAGTTATTATATGGGAAAAAGAGTATTGGGAGGCCCATTAGTATGGAACAAAGCTGTATTCACCAAATCCTACACTTTAAATCCACATTATACATTTAGATTGAAATTTACGTTAGTCTTAGGAGATAATTTTAATGGAAACTTTTAGTATACAGTAGGGGGGTTTACATAAACAATATAATATACTGACTGTGCTAATACGGTTAATAATATTGGTAAGTCTGCATAAGATAAATTTATAATAATTGACAGAACGGAGTCGCACACTCCTTCAAGTTTTTCTGTTTAACTTAAATGCAATTCTAATTCGTAAATTAAAGATAACTTTTGCCTCGTTTATGATTATTTTATTCTGATTTTTGAAGTAAATAATTAATACATATTAGTGTATTGAAAGATGTACTGCTTGCACTGGTCCTACTTGGGCATAGTGTACTGGAAAACAAGCATTACCAGTTGGAATGTCATCACCATCAACATGTGTTGATAATACTTATTATTTAGATTAGACAGTTACTCCTGCTGTTTGTCGAACTTGCACTCCATCTTACTGCTTAGAATGTAAAAATTCTTATATTTGTACTAAATGTGCTTCTAACTTTTATTTATAAAATGGAAATTGTTAATGTTATCCATGGACATATTTAACAACTTCTAATACTTGTGCAAACTGTCATCCTTTATGCGGATCTTGTTATGGTCCCAATAGTAATTAGTGTTTGTCTTGCAATAATTATTAACATCGATATTTGAATAATAATATTTGTCTTTGTTTAAGTAATTATTATGATGATGGTGTTAATTATAAATGTTAATCAATTTGTGGTGATATGATAGTAACTGAAGGAGAGGATTGTGATGATGGTAATACAATTAGATTTGATGGTTGTAATAATTGCAAATTTGAATGTTAAAAAGAATGCCAAACTTGTGTTAATGGATAATGTTCAGTATGTGCTGTAGGTTACACTCTTTAAAAAACTATGAAAAGATGTTTTCCTACATGTGGAAATATTTCTATTGTTAGTTAAGAATAATGTGAGGATAATAATTTGACTCCTTATGATGGTTGTTATAACTGTTAATTTTAATGTTAACTCTAATGTACAAATTGCATTTATGGAAAATGTTACTAATGTGATAATTCAATTGGTTATTATATTAATTTAGCCACTTTTAAATGTGTTACTTTATGTGGGGATTTAATTGTTGCTGGAGGAGAAATGTGTGATGATGGTAATAATATACCTTTTGATGGATGTAATAGTTGTGCTTATTCTTGCGATTCCTTTTGTGATTTATGCATCTTAGGTGTTTGTACAAAGTGCAAATAAGGGTTCTAATTATTAAGTAAAAGTGGTTAATGTGCTCCAATTTGTGGAGATAAAATTGTTACATACTATGAAGGATGTGACGATGGCAACATAATTAATTATGATGGATGTGATTAATGTTCACTCACTTGTTAAGAATAGTGTACATCTTGCATATTAGGAAAATGTTATGAATGCAATACAACTGGATATTAATTAAATCAAAAACTTAATAAATGTATTCCTTTATGTGGGGATTATGTTATATCTACATTAAATGAATAATGTGATGATGGCAATAATATATTTGAAGATGGATGTTATTAATGTAAATATGAATGTTAAGCTGAATGTCTAACATGTGCAGCTGGAATCTGTTATAATTGCAAATCAAATTTCTATCTTAGTTCAGATAATATTTGTCTTCCTATTTGTGGGGATGGCATTATTACTAAATTTGAATCATGTGATGATAAAAACTATGTTATTGAGGATGGANTGAAGTAAATAATTAATACATATTAGTGTATTGAAAGATGTACTGCTTGCACTGGTCCTACTTGGGCATAGTGTACTGGAAAACAAGCATTACCAGTTGGAATGTCATCACCATCAACATGTGTTGATAATACTTATTATTTAGATTAGACAGTTACTCCTGCTGTTTGTCGAACTTGCACTCCATCTTACTGCTTAGAATGTAAAAATTCTTATATTTGTACTAAATGTGCTTCTAACTTTTATTTATAAAATGGAAATTGTTAATGTTATCCATGGACATATTTAACAACTTCTAATACTTGTGCAAACTGTCATCCTTTATGCGGATCTTGTTATGGTCCCAATAGTAATTAGTGTTTGTCTTGCAATAATTATTAACATCGATATTTGAATAATAATATTTGTCTTTGTTTAAGTAATTATTATGATGATGGTGTTAATTATAATTGCTAATCAATTTGTGGTGATATGATAGTAACTGAAGGAGAGGATTGTGATGATGGTAATACAATTAGATTTGATGGTTGTAATAATTGCAAATTTGAATGTTAAAAAGAATGCCAAACTTGTGTTAATGGATAATGTTCAGTTTGTGCTGTAGGTTACACTCTTTAAAAAACTATGAAAAGATGTTTTCCTACATGTGGAAATAGTTCTATTGTTAACTAAGAATAATGTGAGGATAATAATTTGACTCCTTATGATGGTTGTTATAACTGTTAATTTTAATGTTAACTCTAATGTACAAATTGCATTTATGGAAAATGTTACTAATGCGATAATTCAATTGGTTATTATATTAATTTAGCCACTTTTAAATGTGTTACTTTATGTGGGGATTTAATTGTTGCTGGAGGAGAAATGTGTGATGATGGTAATAATATCCCTTTTGATGGATGTAATAGTTGTGCTTATTCTTGCGATTCCTTTTGTGATTTATGCATCTTAGGTGTTTGTACAAAATGCAAATAAGGGTTCTAATTATTAAGTAAAAGTGGTTAATGTGCTCCAATTTGTGGAGATAAAATTGTTACATACTATGAAGGATGTGACGATGGCAACATAATTAATTATGATGGATGTGATTAATGTTCACTCACTTGTTAAGAATAGTGTACATATTGCATTTTAGGAAAATGTTATGAATGCAATACACCTGGATATTAATTAAATCAAAAACTTAATAAATGTACTCCTTTATGTGGGGACTATGTTATATCTACATTAAATGAATAATGTGATGATGGCAATAATATATTTGAAGATGGATGTTATTAATGTAAATATGAATGTTAAGCTGAATGTCTAACATGTGCAGCTGGAATCTGCTATAATTGCAAATCAAATTTCTATCTTAGTTAAGATAATATTTGTCTTCCTGTTTGTGGGGATGGCATTATTACTAAATTTGAATCATGTGATGATAAAAACTATGTTATTGAAGATGGATGTTCTTTATGTACTTTCTAATGTGAAAAAACTTGTACTCAATGCAACTTTGGCATCTGTAAATCATGTCAATCTGGATATTATTTAGATAAATCAGTTTAAAAATGCTTTCCTATTTGTGGTGATAAAATTATATAAGGAGATGAGTAATGTGATATTGGTATTATTTCTTTTGATGATAATATTAGAAATAATACAGGATGCATAAATTGCAAGCTTTAATGTTCACCCTAATGTGAAATTTGCATCTAAGGCTAATGTTTAAAATGTAAGGAATCCTTGGGATGGTATTTAGATAATGAAACATCTTCTTGCTATAGTTTATGTGGAGATTCAATTATTAGTGATTATGAAGAATGCGAGGATTCTAATTCTTAATTAAATGATGGATGCAGTCAATGTATGTTTAAATGTTCACAAGAATGCTCAATTTGTATTTTTGGATTATGCTATCAATGTAAATCAGGTTATACATTAATTAATTAAAAATGTCTACCTGTTTGTGGTGATGGTATAATTGCTGGTAATGAGGAATGTGATACAGGATTAATTTATTTTGATGGATATGAATGTGTGAATTGTAAATTTAAATGTTCAGAAGGATGCAATAATTGTGTTTATGGATAATGTTTAGAATGTAAAAATAATTATGGATATTATTTAAATTTAAATAATTAATGTGAATCTAAATGTGGAGATTTAATTATCAATAATTAAGAGAATTGTGATGAGAATTCACAAAATTGTGAAAATTGTAATTTTATTTGTGATGATAATTGTAATTAATGTTAATTTGGAATTTGTTAAAGTTGTATTCTAGGTTATAAATTACTATTAAATAAATGTATTAGTATTTGTGGAGATTAAATATAAACAAATAATGAAGATTGTGAAAATGATGATATTATCCCATTTGATGGTTGTTACTTATGTAAATTTTAATGTTAAGATGAATGTTAATAATGTGTAAATGGAGAATGTATATCATGTAATGAAACTTAAGGATGGTATTTATAAAATAAAAGATGTGTGTCAAAATGTGGAGATGGTATTATTGCTGGATTAGAAGAATGTGATATCAATTTGAATTATGATAATGGAGATATTTCATTTAATTAATGTTTTAATTGTAAATTATCTTGTGTTTAAAATTGTTTAAATTGTGATAGAGGAATTTGTACATTATGTTAAAATGGATATTTTTTAAATAATTTAAATGAATGTGAAAATATATGTGGTAATTTATCTACTGAAGACTTTGAAGTATGTGATGATGATAATCTCAATGGTTTTGATGGTTGTTTCTAATGTTAATATGATTGTTAATCTAATTGTTAAGTATGTGTAAATGGATAATGCATTTTATGTGAAGATGGATTTCTATTTGATTAAGATACTTAAACATGTTAATCTATATGTGGAGATATGAAATTAACTTAATATGAAGAGTGTGATGATGGTAATGATATACCATATGATGGATGTCATAATTGTAAGTATTCTTGTACTGAAAATTGTGATAATTGTATAGAAGGTGTTTGTTAAAGTTGTTAATAAGGTTTCTTACATGCTTTTCCGAAATGTATTCCTGATTGTCAAGATATAATTTAAATTAATAATTATGATTAATGTAATTTAAAAGAATGTTAAAGAGAATGTATAATTTGTATAAAAGGAGATTGTTATTAATGTTAAAATGGATGGTATTTGAATTAAGTAGAATATATTTGTGAAAGTATGTGTGGAGATTAAATTATAGTTGGTTAAGAATAATGTGAAAATTTCTTAAGTTATACAAGAGATGATTCTTAATGTAATAATTAATGTTAATTTGAATGTCCTTATAATTGTTATAGTTGTTCATTTGGTATTTGTTAAGAATGTTAATAAGGATATTATTTAATAGAAAATGAATGTCATAATTATTGTGGTGATTATTAAATTACAAAATAAGAGTAATGTGATGATGATAATATATAACCATTTGATGGTTGTTTCTAATGTCGATTAGATTGTGAAGAATAATGTTCTATATGTATTGATGGAATATGTGAAATGTGTTTAATTGGATATGAAATAATAGATGGAAGTTGTTATTCTATTTGTGGAGATGGTATA